TAATCCACTGATAGTTATCTTCGTTTCCATTGACATCCGTATGAATGCCATACAGTTAGCTATAACATGCGTCATAACTTTCAGCACTGTTCTTCACATTGATGAATCTGACGAATACGGCGATTTTATGATGTACACAGTCCAGACGTCAAATAAATTGACGGTACATCAACAAGTTGCAGAACAAAAGGCGTTTAGACATTTAACAATTGCATGTAGTCTCAAATACAGAATCCATGCAAACATTTAGACAACTTGTACTTGGCCAAATATAATACATGTAAATAATTGGAGTTCGAATAGACTGCATGTCAGTTTAGCCAAACAATACCAGCCAAAAGAAAAATACACACAAAAAATTGTACGTTCTTTTATGGTGTTACTATGTAAAAAAAATCTTATGATGTAAAGCGGGGTAAGGTTCATAGAGTCGAAATAAAGTAACTGTCATCCTGCATGTTATTTGTATAATCCACTGATAGTTATCTTCATTTCCATTAATTTCCGACGTATGAATTTCATACAATTAGCTATAAAAGGCCTCGCGACATTCAGCACTGTTTTCGCGGTGATGCATCTGCTGAATATGGCGATGTTATGATGTACACAGTTCAGACGGCAAATAAATTGACGGTACATCAACAAGTTGCATAATATAAGGGGTTAAGAAATGGAACAATTTCATGTAGTCTCAAATACAGAATCCATGCAAATATTTAGACAAATTATACTTGGCTGAATATAATAGATAATTAGACAAATAGTTCGGACTACACATGAGTTCAGAAAACATACCAGCCAAAAGAGAAATACATGCAAAACAATTTGTGTATTTTTATGGCGTTGCTATATATGTATCGCCACCGACTTTAAAGAATTGGACGATTTACTTTATTATCAGTAGGTTATTAAGTTCTATGAGCTTGCTTTCAATAAATGGGAACACGGTTTTATCTTTAAATTGTATACTAGTATAATTAAGCGTATTGGTATTAATCAGCAAAATAGGACACGTGTTCTTGTAATATAAATATTACTTTCATTTGAATATAAAACGTCACTAAAAATTCAAATCTTAATTACGCATGGAACCATCCGGTCAATGAATGGTATATCAAAATCATAAAAAAGGAAAATTAACAATAGGAAAGAAAAGTCCTTCTTTTTGCCATATTTTTTTAATTTTGGTATCCAGCTATAAATCAACTTAAGGAATACTAAATCATGATTGTAAAGAGACAACAAACACTTTATAAAGTTATGTCAAGCACAACAGTAAGTCCAGGTAGATAGATACATTGAATTGGTATATATACATAATTTTTGGTTATTAAAAAAAAATATTATCTGCATCTATTGTTTCAAATCTGAGATAGAGTGCTACATTAAACCAACAAATTGAGAAGTGAGCTGAATGCATTTTTAGCACCTTTCTAGTCAATATTAATTGTACTGAAATAAAATAGGACTAAACATATTCAGGAAAATTATTCGGTTGCTTTTTTTCTAGAAATTAAAAAAGAAGAAGGAATTGATAAAGTTTTATATGATGTATGTAACTTTAATGAAATACTGTCTCATTGATGGATACCAATTAATATCTGTTTTTATTCATATTAATTATTTACTGGTACTTAAACCTTCATTGAACTAAACTTTTCAGAAGGTTTTTTCTGATTGTTTATATGACTGCGCTAATTTATTTTTTGTACTTTAGACTTTCAAATGGTGTATTTATGTCACTATGTATCTTAATCAAATATTTTCATCTGTACTATTCATACACAATTATCAAAATGATGTTTGTCTTTGCATGTCAGTAAAAAGATGGAAGGAACAGTTTATCTCAATCTGATGCACTCTTGTACTTTGTACATCTGTGTTAAGCAGAGTCAGGTTCATTAGAGTCAAAATGTAGAAACAGTCATCCTGCATGTTATTTATATAATCCCCTGATGGTTATCTTCGTTCTGTATGAAGTTATGAATACCATAGTTAGTTCCATCTTAACTACTCCGAAGTACAACCGCTATTAAAAGAGTGTAGGATAATATAATGTCTGTGTTAGTATGATTAGTGCTTTGATCTTGCTTACCATGACTGCGAACATTTTGATTGTTTTATGTAGGGTTTTCTTACATGTATTTATGTTTTGTTTTACCTATCATTATACCGTTGCCATAGAGTTCGATGCTTTTTATAGACCGTTATTGTACGCACTTCTACTCAATTCTGTAATCGACCAGAGATCGCATTTTTCTTTTTTTTTTGGCGAAGTTTCCAATTAAACTGAAAGCTGGAGGGTTCAGTGCCAAACAATATTTAACATTAATGTTCATATATGTATCATCAGTCAGGCACCTTGTCCGTGGTTGTCTTTAATTATTCTTTGGGCCTTAATGCATTTTGGTTACTATTCCAGACCTTCTTTTAAAGTTATTCACTTTTCTAGACCCAGGGTGAGTTAATAAGAGCTTGGCATATTATATATTATTTGTTTCAAAAACTCTAGATATATTTTCATTGCTGTGTCGCTGGGTTGCTAACTCAGTGTACGCATTATCTCCTTTTTATACTCCAAGGATGACTGTGGAATAGAAACATGGTCACTTTGGTGTACTTTCAACCGGGAGTAAAACCCGTTGCCAAAATGGGGCGTTCGTTTGGTTGTACGGGATGAACAAGTACACATCTACGCCCGGTCATAATGAGGATGTTGAATCTGAAGCCTCGTGTAAAGAGAGTGCCACGCTATTTGCACTTTATGAACCCTTGCAACTCTATGATGGGTACGTTTGTGGCCTATTGCAAGCCAAATTTCTGTCCCTATTCAAATTCAACCTCTAATGGCAGTCGAAATTTCCCCGACCTTCATCATCGACTTCCCCTATTATAGAACCTACCTATTGTATTTATTATTAATTTGTTCTCGTCCTGAACATGCATGAAATATTTGTCATTGGACGGTAAGCAACCAACGAATCAATCAATCAATCAATGAATCAATCAATCAATCAACCAATCAATTTACCTTTCTTACATATCAATAAAGATCCTGAAGCCTTTAAAGTATAGTACTATATATAATCGAACGTTCCGAACAAATTGAATTGATTGAAATTCATTTGATAATACTTGTTAATTGACTAGATGTTAAAAAGTTTTTCTGTTCAGTTAGCATGTATATTGCAATAAGAACACAATGGTTTGTAAAATTCATATTCGTGATTATAAACATTGTCACTTTGCTTACTATTCCTGCCTTTGGATATACGATGATCTTATTTAACGAGTTTGCAAATAATGTAAAAAAGTCATTTTATATCTTTATGTATCTTTATTCTCAAGAACATAGGTACAGAGAAGACATCTCATTAAATACCTTAAATATAAATACAATATAGACACCCAAAAAACTAAACAAAAAAACATACCGACAATTTCACTTTAGTCAGGAGAACACACTTCCTAATTTATAATTCGTATACACTTACATAAGTTTATGTGATCTGTCCTTTTTGTAGAAGACATGATTTCAGGAAAGAGCATCGTACTTGGCCTACGTTTGACCAATCTTATCCAATTAAAATCTATGTTTTGGTACAATGCAAGCGGTATGTTAATTTATATATGACAGATGAGTATTTTGACTGTTTTCCCATAATAAATTTAGACCAGTAGGAATTATCATCCTTAATTTTAAATCAATTTATTTCATATCGGTTAAAAATTAGCTTCTCTTATTGGATACATGTAACAAGGGGCCACATGAAATTCTTTATTCTTTATTAAAAAATTTCATCGGTCTTTAACAGAAAAAAACGGACCAGAAAACCGGTCATTAACGGACTTTTACATGTAAATGACCATTGGGATGAGGTTTCTGTTTAGAGTGATGTCCCTTTAATAAAACGCAATCGCGATTCAGACGTTTGGAACATGGCTGAACTGGAAGGCACGTCTGCTACAGACAACTCAAATGATCGTTTTGCCGTACTTTCCGATGCTGATAGAGACAAACTACTCAGCAACAAGAATTATAAAATTATAGAAAACTTTATTTTTGTATTCATATACTGAAAAAATGCACTTAAATGAATGGCAGTGACTTATAGTTATCACTATGACTGGTCTTCACTCTTTCCTATAGAAATCGTATAATTACTCGATTTTGCTTTGAACAATTTGAATTTATGAGAATTTTTAAAACATGGTTCCTAAATGAAATGAACATAATAGTTATTGAAGAACTTGTCATTATCGTGATACATGGACAATGGACGTTAGTGGTATTGACTGCGACAGCGATAATGACCTCGCCTACGGCTCAGTCATTATCGCTGTCTTAGTCAATACCCCTGTCCTGTGGGCAGTCCATATATCACCATAATGACCAGTTCTTCAATAACTATTATATAAACAACGTTCGAGCACACCATATATTATACAGTTGGGAGTAGAGAATTTCAGATTTCATTTAAGGGCAATTAATCACTCTCATACACAGTTAATTGACAGTTATACTCATGCGACTTATTTGTATTTCTTGCTTTGATAGAAGTTAGAAGTTAGAAGATTTTGACATTATGGATATTAATTATTGGTCACTTCTTATGGATTTCAAGATATTAAACCATTATTTGCATGTAACAGTTATACAATGTCTATTTTAACCACGACGGCAGCGATAACATTCATACCAAACCTAAGCTTATACTAGATACCCTGTGTTACATAGTTAAAAAAAGAGTCATATGGCCTTAATAATGGGCCAGATGAGCTAATTTAAAAGTGTAGATTTTATCCCAATACAGACTTTCGGTATGGAGCGCTACTGGTTCATACATAATATGATATAGTTAATGTCGTTGTTTATATATCAAAGTTTTGGGGAATTACAACGTATTTTCACAGATACAGACATATGCCATACACAGCATTGGAACTGAAAGGAATTACTCATAAAAAAAATGTTAACACAAATTTTATTACGAATATAATATGTGTACGCGAGATTCTGACGATATATTGTCAACTGTGTTTATAATTATATCACATTCGGCCATATCATTGGCTTGACTGTTTCCAGAAGGAATTCCTCGTCAAGCTGAACAACTTCAATATTTTCCTATCTTTCGTCATGCTGTTTCATATGAGATATATTTTGCTGACTTTTCAACCATGAATAAGAGCAGTGGATTACTTGCCGCCATTCGTAACAATTATCTGTGACAACTATACGCCTTAGGAAGCTGGTGAGTTCAATATCTATATTATGCAAAATATTTTTCTACCGTTCTTCAGATGCAAATAAATTACTCAGATCATTGCTAAATATGCTAGTAATCGAAAGAAAACTAATACTAGCATTTTTTAGCTTTTATCATTTCCGCAATCTTTTTAATCCACTCGGCTGCTTTTCCACTTGTTTGTCTTGATTTACACATGGCAACTATATATAAACAGTTTGTTCTGCAAACAATAATGTATGTTTGTCCATTAAACGAAACAAATTGTCCCGAGTCACGTGATTTAATGCAATACGTCACACCTTTTATCCGTAAAGTATCAGCCCTGTCATTAGCTAAACATTTCTTGACATTCTGAAAAAAAAGAATAATAAGTAAGTTACATTATAAAGAAAAACGTTTTCAGTTACCCCTTCCTAGAAAGTTTTTAAAGGTATCGAGCATCACATATATTTGAAATAAGCTAGATAACATGGAGATATGGGTAGTTGTCTCATCGGCATCCATACTATATCTCATTTTTACTTATCTCCATAAACTTGAAATAAAAATGTGAAATATCCAACTGGGAGTCACAGAACAATAGTTAAATAGAAAATAAACATTTGAAGACAGTATGTTGTCCATTTGATGTCTTATGATTATTTTTGTCGTTGGTTTGTGGTCTCATTAAGGTATAAACCAGATGCACAAAAAGATAAGAAGATACTACGACGGCATTTAAAATCCTAATATAAAAAACCAAACAACTTTATTGCTAAGGAAAAAAGACCAACAAACAAACAAAGGTCGCAAACACCTTTCACATATAACTAAAGATTTTTCAACACAAACCCTTCGAAAATCTTGATCGATACAATGAACACGGCTCTTATTATTTTTTTTAAAGTTTAAATACCAAATAATTTTATGAAAAAACCGGAAAAAAAAAACAAACTGTGCAGATTTATTCTTGTGGATAATTTTTTTTATCTGAAATCTATTATTTTTTTATATTTAGCTTATACTTACAATTAAGTCTTCATCGGAGACAGTAAAACCTTTCGACACTGCTGCTGTTTCTCCATTGTGACGTATTAAAGCTGCCCCTGTGATGACCAGCTTTGAATGTTTCTTCATGATATGGTCAACCCAATGACTCCATATATTTTTGACCTTAATAGTACCGCTTCCATAAGTGCTAAAAAGAAGACTCATTGTCCTGTATGCTTTTGTGCTCCTAGAAAATAATCTACAACGTCAGATGCACCTGAAAGTGATAAAAAAAAATAATCAAAAAGAAATTTTCTTTATGCTTAAAATGTTTAAACTTTAGTCAATTATCTTTTTTTAAAGCTTAGTTTCATTAAATTATGTATAACAGCAATGCGACAAAAACGGTAAGAAGTTTAGAATGACGTAAAACTTGTTTATTATACAAAAATCGAATTACACAAACATCAAACACCGTTCTATTTGCTACACTTTAAAGTAAAGCGACAAATTAAAAAAATAAAATTCAAAACAAATGTATTGTTATATAGTTCTAATTAAGTTACCTGATAAGATTTTCAAGTTCTCTTAATTCTTTCTACCAAAATCTTGTGTATATCCTTCTTGTTGATTAAGCAACGGTTATCTGGGGAAAAAATAAATATCAACACTTTATATATTATGAATGACTAAAATTTTCCATTTGCAAATGTATTTATATATTGATAAAACTACTGATAAAATTAATCACGTGAATTTAACTGCGAGCGTCACAACCATATGTTTGTCACACACGTGTTGACTGTTTACATGGTTTATAGGATGTTATTTGTTATCTTATGTAGTCATAAACGTGAATCGTCAAATTGGTCAATTTGCAGATCATCGCAAAACATTACTCAGATATCTAACCCTTAGATATCACCAAATAAGTAAACCATCGGTCATGTAAATTCTTACATGAACAACACGACGGATGCCACATGTGGAGCAGGATCTGCTTTCACTTTCCGGGACACCCGAGATCACCCCCGGTTTTTGGTAGGGTTCGTATTGCTCAGTCGTTTATGTTGTGTTATGTATACTGTTGTTTGTCTTTTTGTCTTTTTCGTTTTTTGCCATGGCGTTGTCAGTTTATTTTCGACTTATGAGTTTGAATGTCCCTTTGATATCTTCCACCTCTCTCTTGTAAAACTTTATCAAATTTGAAAGTTTGAAATGAGCATACGATTTACCAAAACCAAGGGTAGACAATAACTTTGAATGGAGTCAGAGCTATGCACACATATCGAAAAATGAAATGGGATTAAATACAACTCTGAAATCAAAAGGAAAGCAACATTAACTCCTTTAAAAAAATTAGGAGTAACACTCAATATGAGAGATGAAGCAGAGTATTTAAACCCATTAAGAATCTTTATTCTGGTTTATATCAACAACCTTAACGTTTCAACCCTTTCGGAACAATAAAATAGAGAATGGAAATTGGGAATGTGTCAAAGAGACAACAACCCGACCAAAGAGCAGAGCCACCAATGGGTCTTCAACGCAGCGAGAAAATCCCGCACCCGGAGGCAGGCTTCAGCTGACCCCTAAACAAAAATGTGTACTAGTTCCGCGAAAATGGACGTCATACTAAACTCCTTTACATATAAATGAACTAAGATTAAAAAAAACATACAAGACTAACAAAGGCCAGAGGCTCCTGACTTGGGACAGGCGCAAAAATGCGCAAAAATGTGGCGGGGTTAAACATGTTTAGTGAGATCTCAACCCTCCCGCTTTACCTCTAGCCAATGTAGATTAAACAGTACTTTTTTGTTAAATTTGTTTGTGAAATTTTGCCTATTGTATGACATATAGCTCGATTGAATCCATTAGTATTTTGTTTTCCAGTTAATGGATTAAAGCTTACGGTGTATCAACTCACCAGCTAATACATATCGACGAGACGTTTTGTTGACAATGTAGAGATCATCAGCAACACGACAGGTGCCACATGTGGAGCAGGATCTGCTTAGCCTTTCGAAGCACCCGAGATCACCCCCAGTTTTGGTGGGGTTCGTGTTGCCCAGTCTTTAGTTTTCCATGTAGTGTTTTGTGTACTGTTGTTGGTCTTTTCGTCGATTTTCTTTTTTTTTGCCATGGCATTATAAGTTTGTTTTCGACATATGATTTTGAATACTCTTTGGTATTTATCGCCTCTCTTTCATAATGTAGCCAGCTGGATTATATATGAACGAGGGAACCTGCACCAGTGCAATCAGTTGATTTTGACGTGAAGTCCTGAATATTGAAATCCTGCAATACATGTTTGTAATTGAGAAGTTTGGTCGCAATATATGTTGCATAGGTAAAAGAGGAGATCGGACCATACCTGTTTTTATTTTGATGCACTTGGGATTATTAAGTTTCGTTAACAGACTTCTTTAATTATGCTCTCAGTCAAAATTCTCATTCTAACATAAAAGTAGTCAAAGCAAGGTATAATCTTTCACCTTGGGTACATTATAACTAATCCAAGAATTTAAATATTGAAAAATATTTACAAATTTGACCGCATGACACATTATTTCACGAACAACCGTAAATATTTGTGTATCAAAATGTATCTGTATACTGAATCATGTTTTTGCGAAATCTATTGCGTCATGTAAATTAACTGATAGTGTTAGTGGCTACACTACTGAGTGGACGATACCCTCTGAGGCTTACAGACATGTTTACAATATCCATCACTTATCGTCACTTGCATCTACATGACTGTTTTGGTGGTCAATACACGTGTTTCATTCAATAATTTATCTCAGATACTCCCAAGGCCAATAATAATAATAATAAAAAAATAATGAGGTTAATTGGTAAAGAACTTAAACAATTTGGAAAAGAAATCAAAATAGCACTTTATAAATGATGTGGGCCCGAAGTGCTTTTCTTTCATCTGGAATGCTCAAAGCCGTATTTGAAAGCCAAGGATGTATAAGTATACCGTAACAGATGAGGAGCTATATGACTGAAAGTACATAAAACCATCAGCTAAACCATCATGATACATCAGTTCCCTCATAGTGGAAAATAGATATTATAATAGTTCTTTGTTAAACGTGTTTGCAAGGTATTTTACTTACTAAATATGGCAAAAGGACAAAGATGGATTCCGAAAACGCAGTCGAACATTAAGAGCTAGATGTAACGTTATATATTCATTTATTGTATATTTATTAAAAAGTGCAATGACTATTCTATCATGCCATATCAACATGAAAATTAAGGTTTGATTCTAGATAAATAGGAATAAGGCCCTGTGATATGCTTACCAAGGCGAACACTATCATGAACTATTAAATTAAAAACATGGTATGCGTTTTACATCGGATGACCGTGAGGGCATTCCGGTGAACGTTTTGCGGGAAAATATGAATGCCTACTCAAATCCAATCTATTAGAAAAATCGAATTATTACAGAAGAGTGTCCATCATGCACTTGCACTGCACTATTATTAATATAGTAGAATAGAATGATATACAAATGAATGAAAATTATATATACATGTAACTGTAATATACAAATATTAATATAATATATAACAACAAACCAGAGTATTCTGATTTGTATCACTACAATATAATAGTTATTACGACGAGGTTGAATTCCATGTCATTTATTTATCATCCACGCACGAACTTGTCTCAGAAAAAAAATATCTGTACATTAACCCTGGGAACAGTATATCTAATTAGGTAGTGTCAAGTCCCGTTTATTTATATGTTCCTGATTAACCTCACTGTCAGGTATAGAGATGTGATTTGTTTTTCTGAGACAAGTGCTTGTGACCAGCCTCAAGAACTTGCGGTTATCCGATGTACTTTGATTTAAACGAGTTAAAGAAGATAAATTTAAAACTAGTTTGTGTGTGATTTCTGGCCTATCATACATTTTAGTAGAAAAATAAAGGATATGGGGTATCCATCCATGACACAAAATCAGTACATGCACAGCAAAAAATACAAAAAATGAAAAGGAACAGCGCTTTTATTTCTGTTCTTCATAACTAAGTCACTGTGAGGCCTTCAACACGGAGCAACAAACTCTCACCTCACTGCAAGTTTAAGACGGCCCCATAGCACCGGCTATTATTACGCAAGGTATTGCTCATATTTATTTTCATCATCATTGAAGTGTTTTGCAGGATCCTTGTCCTGTATATCACGAACGTATGAATCGGACGGATTGATAAAGTAGGGTTAACTAGTAGCAATTCTGGAATTTCGAAAATTAAGAAACAAACTATTATTAAATATAAAATAAGAATTTTCTTCATATTCGAAATTCCCGAATTGCTACCAGTTTTATGTTAATTCTTTTTGCCAAATGCAATCACCATCCTTGCAGTTTCTCTTAGATCAGATACCATCCTCTTGCTTGTCAAATAGACAACACTAAACGACAGTATATATAAAGCTTTATAATCATATTTGTTTTTGTTGTTGTTTTGTACATAATTTAGGTCATATGTTTCTCGTTTCAATTGTTTCACATTTAACATTTATTTCGGGGCCTTCATAGCTTACTAAGCGGTTAGGATTTTTCTCATTATTGAAGGTCGTACGGTGACCTAATGTTGCTAACTTCAATGTAATTTGGTCTCTGGTGAAGATTTGTCTCATTGGCAATTATACCTCGTCTTCTTATTTTTATATTTGATAATTTTTGTAAGTGGTGTTTTATTAATATTTGAAACACATTACAACCTTCCGATTTTTTAATTTCATCGCATTTGGTTTATTTGACAAATATTGGTAAATCTACATGTTACATTAATGAAGCTTTTTATGCTTTTCGTTGGGCTCATGCATATAAGCTGGCTATGCGGTATGGGTTTTACTCATTGTTGAAGGCCGTACGGTGGCCTATAGTTGTTAATTTCTGTGTCATTTGGTCTCTTGTGGAGAGTTGTCTCATTGGCATTCATGCCACATCTTCTTATTTTTATATGCAGCACAGAATCCATGTCAGCTTGATTTAATTGTTACTATTGATCATGATCTTAGAAACTTATGAAATGTTCTCATATCGAAAACTGTCAAAATAAAATGTCCTGTTAAAATGTTATATGAGATATTTGACTTTAGCCAATACAAATCGGATAGAATCGAATGAATTCATTTTTGTCTCGCCTGAGACGAAAGTTGTGAAGGGGAGACATAGCGATCCTAGATTTCATCGTCGTCGACAACATTTAAGCTCAGTCGGAAATAAAAGTTTATTTATTATCGTGTGGGTATATTTCTATGTTAACTACCGATTTACAAATTGAATCAGCACATGATATCACCTCTGTCAGTTTTTGGAGGGATTCTTGTTGTTCATTCAGTCTTTAATTTTCAGGGAAGTGTTGTGTGGACTGTTATGATATCTTTTGGCCATGGTATAGTCTGGCTTTTGTGATGGTTTTGTTTGAACCCCTTTGAATCTGCTTACTTTGTTTTGCTTTATATACAACTGAGCAGGATACATCTATCACAAAAAAAAAGAGGCAAAACAATCATGAATCGAAAGACTGAAACCATAGACATAAGTCAAAAATAAAAGTACCACCCCCCTAAAAATGACATA